ATGACCCTGCCTATATGACCTTCCTAGAACAGGCAAGTTCATCAGGACAGAAAACAGAATGTGGCCTAGATGCTGGGGATGGGGGGATGGGGAGTGATTGTGCAGCAGGGCAGTTTCTGTTTAGGATGATGAGAACGTTCTGGAAATAGTAGGAATGGCTGCACAATAATTTGAAAGTGCTTGATGCCACTGAAGTGTCCCCTAGAGAGTGTTAAGAGGGTAAATGTTATATATATTTCACCAAATAAACACAGAAAACAAAAGATAGCTCTGTCATGAAGTTGCTGTCCTTCTAGAGACCAGAAGAAGGAAGAAATAACAAAACAAGTGCATGTGTGATGGTGATCTGTGTTGGGAAGAAAACCATACAGGGAAAGGTTCTTGTAACAATCTGGGAACAGTTTCTGGGTCTGATAGTGTGAGGAGGTGATGTCTGGGTAAAGACGTGGAGGAGGTCAGGAAGCAGCCTCTGTGTCTGCCTAAGAGAAAAGTCTCCCAGGAGGAGGGAAAGGGGAACAGGGATGCAGGGCTCAGAAGCAGCAGCAGGCCTGGGAGCTGTGGACACACCCAGAGGCCCATGTCTAAGACAGAGAGAGGCAGAAGGAAGGAACAGAAGGGAGGATGGTGCAGACCTCATGGGGCCCTGAGGCTTTAGGTAGAGCAGAGACATGCCGGGACTTTCCCCCTCACAGGACCCCGCGGCTGCCCTGGTTAGGCCTGAGTGGATCACGGCAGTCACAGAGAGATAGGAAGGCACCACTGAATCCTCCAGGAGGAGGGATGGAGGTTTGAACCAGGGAGACAGGGCTGGATGAAGACATGTTTAGAGTCATGTGTGGAAGGTCAAACCAACAGGATATTTTAATGGTGTGATCAGTGAGGGGAAGGGACAGGAAGGGCAAGGATAATACCAGAATATTCCTCCGAGCACCTGAGGAGGAAAGAGCTGTGTCATAGAGGACTGTGGAGGGAGGGACCTGGGGGAGGATGTTGATTCTGAGAATCCCCCTGTCATCTGAACAGAGATGGGAAGGAGTCAGCTGGATGCCCAAGTCAGAACTTCAGTAGAGGCGTCCAGGCTGAAGACGTTGAGGGTGTAATGATTATAACAGCTTATAATGTTTCTGCAATTTTCTCCCATTTTCTCTGCTTTTATTTCTTCAGTATCACTTACACATGGACAGGATACTGAGATAGTATGACAGAAAGAGAGACCACATTCACATAACTTTTATTAGAGTATATTTTTATTAGAGTATATTATTATAATTGTTCTATTTAATAATAAGTTAGCCAGGCTTGGTGGCTCAGCCTATAATCCCGCGCCTTTGGGAGGCTGAGGTGAGTGGATTGCCTGAGCCTGCGGGTTCAAGACCTACCTGGGCAGGCAAGACCTCATCTCTACAATAAAATCAAAAAATTAGCCGGGCGTGGTAGCGCACGCCTGTAATTCCGGCTACTCGGAAGGCTGAGGCGGAAGGATCGCTGGAGCCTAGCAGGTCGAGGCTGCGGTGGCCGGGAGGGGCCACTGCACTCCAGTCTGGGCGACAGAGTGAGACTCCAACTCAAAAATAATAATAATAATAAGTTACAGTGGTTCCACTTATATTATGCTAATTTATAAATTAAAATTCATCCTAGTTTTGTAGATAGAGGGAAAAACCTAGGACATAAAGAGTTTTTTCTCTCTGTGGCTTCAGTCACCACAGGGACCCAGGAAATCTCCACCATGGAGGAGGGGACTCCTGGATGTCAATTTTTATAGTGTAAAGTGATGACAAGAGATGAGGGCAAAAAAAAAGGGAATGACAAGAGTATCACAGTACTTCAAACAATTAAAAATAGAAGCCGGACACGGTGGCTTAAGTCTGTAATCCTAGCACATTGGGAGGCCAAGGCAACAGGATTGCCTAAGCCCAGGGGTTAGAGACAAGCCTGGGCAATTTGGTGAGACCTCATCTCTACAATAAGTTAAAAAATTAGCCGGGCTTGCTAGTGCATGCTTGTAGTTTCAGCTACTTGGAAGGCTGAGGCAGAAGGATAGCCTGAACTCAGCAGGTCGAGGCTACAATAGCCATGAGTGTGCCACTGCACTACAGCCTGGGCAACAGAGTAAAGCTCAAACTCGGAAAAAAAAAAAAGCAACTTGTGATTCAGCCATTACCTTTCTGATTCTACATCCAAAAGAGTATAGGCGCTTGAGTGGATACTGGTTCTCCCACGGTCATGGCAGCATCATTCACCACAGCTGAGGAGTGGAAGCCAGTCACATGATATGGACAGGGGAATGGTTAAACAGAAGGTAGAAAATCATATCACTTTTAAAAAGGAAAGGAATTCTGAAAACTGATACCAATTGGATGAATTTGGGAAATATCTGATAAGGGAAATATGCCAGTCATGAAAAGTCAAACACTGTAGGATTCCACTTCCATCAGGTGACAAGGGGAGTCACCTTCATAGACAATAAGTGCAGTGGGGGATGCCAGGGGCTGAGAAGGCGAAGGGGGAGTTGCTGTTTCAGGGGGACAGAGTTTCAGTTTGGAGGAAATATTTATAAAAATTGTAACCCAAAAGTGATGTAGTATCCAGAAAATGCAGGACAATATGAATGGATCAGTCAACAATGATCCTGCTCCCAGTCTCCTCCTGCCTGATGTGACCCTTCTCTTCCCTCTGTAGGGATCAACTCGTGGAGTCTTGGCCATGAGGAGTTATCTGTTCCCTCCTATGTTGAATCCAAGGCTGAGACAGACCCAGCCCCACAGAGGGCGCTGTGAGGGTGGAGCCCAGGATGGGGGTCAGGCTGTTTGCTACTGGGCTGGTTGCTGGGCCTCTGGACGAGGCAGCCGACTGGACATGACCTGGACTCTGGGGGTAACATGGGAAGAGTCCCAGCGATAGCATCCCGTTGGAGCGGGCAGCTGTCCCTCTGCTTCCAGGGTCATGGCAAAGCAGCATGCCATGGAGAGCAGGAGCAGGAGTGCTGTTCTCAGGTCCCTCTCTGTGCTGTCCCACAAGGCGGCCCCATGAGCTCCTACCCAGGTGACTTTCTGCACCCCAGAGTACCCCCTTCTGACCTCCTGAGATTAGCCCCTTCTCCATCTTCTTGGCTCCTTCCTTCCACAAGGTAGGTTATCTCATGCCTCACACAGGTGTTTGGGAACAAGGGTCCTGCTCTTCTGTAAAAGACAATTCAGACAGTCAACAGAAAAGCTGACCAACTGGGAGAAATGTATGAAAAACTCATACATAACACACAGCTTGTGTCCAGAAAATCTAAAGGAGTCTCACAACAAAACAATAAGCCAATGAAATCCAGTTTAGAAGTAACAAGTTAAAGAATCAATCTCATTTTTACAAAGAAGAGAAAAAAATAGTCTTTAGCATGTGACACTCACTCAGCATTGCTTCTCTTGGGTTATCACACATGAATCCAGAAAGAGATGCCCCCTCTCCTAGGATAATGGCTGAAACTGCCCGAGTCTCTCCCGGTATCTTGACATGAATGGCAGCCCTGAAGACCCTAAGCAATGATTGTCACTGTCCGTCCTGCAGGACCAGTCCCTGCACCTGGTCTGCGTGGCTAACAGCAACCCCCTGTCTCCTTCAATTGGCCCAGGGAAGGAAGAGCCCTGAATTCCACCCACCCTCAGCACCTGGGGCCCTGGAGCTGCCCATGCAGAGGCTAGAAAGGGAGGGAACTCACCTGCCAAGCTCAGTATCTACTGAGGTTCCCATCCTGTTTCCTTGAGCCTCACTGTGCAGAATGACTTGCGGGACAGGGGCCAGGGTGGGTGCCCTGGTCAGGTGTTGGGTTGTGGGGGGGGGAGCTGAGTTCTGGGGACAGAGCCTCTTTCTCTTCTCCCCTTTTGGAGAAGCCTCTCCTGTAGAGATGTGTGACTGGGGAACAGAAGGGCTCCTGGCCACAGGTCCTCATTCTGATCCGGGGGCCCTCATGAAGCCTGGCTTCCTCCTCTACTGGGGTCCCACCTGAACCTACCACACCAGGTGAGCAGGCCTGTCTCTCCCCAGGAAAACCCAGTGATTGGTTTCTAAGTTCCCTGTGGGGCTGAGCTTCCCTGCCCCACCTGGAGTCAGAATTAAAGTGACCTAATTAATCTAATCGGAGACCTGTTGGTTCTGCCTGGGAGTCCCCAGGGAAGTAGAACTGAGTAGCCGAATAAGCCACTCTGTCCCAAAACAGAATTTAGGTGGGGTCATTGGCCCAAGGGGCAAGATGGGGGGACATCACTATGAGTCTCTTCCTGGAAACCCTACTCACACCACACCAACTGCCCCTTTGTGTCCTGTCTGCTCCCTCCTCATATATGCACCCCCACACACCCCATCACTTGCCCCACACACCCCCACACACACCATCACACTGGAAAATCTGTGCTGTTAATGGTCTACATGGGATAAGTTGGACCCAGAGTACTCGGGGGTACACATGTGAATGAGGGTCATACTGCACTTAGTGACAGAAATCCCCGTCCACAACATACCAGATGACAAGCAGCCCCAGACTCCTATGGGGTGGCCTGGTTCCACCCAGCTGGCCCTCCAGCCCAGTCTCCCTAAGGAGCCAGGGTGGACACCAAAGACATGAATATGACTGTGTCGCTCCGACTCCTCTAATTTACACCTTTCATAATGTGGGTAGTGTGTTTCCAGCCTACCCAACTGCAGGCAGAATGCAGCCCGCACGTGTGTCTTCAGCGAAGGCTTCAGGCTCCTCTTAAAGGTAATCCTCTAAATACAGCAGGGAGAACAGTTAGTCAGATGAGTAACTCCCAACCACTTCACCTCTTCTCTGTGAGCTGTGATTTCTGTGGTCACTGTTCTAGTGACTTGTTGTTGTGCATTGAACCACTCCCAGACTCAGTGGCCAAGATGATATTCTTACTCTATTATGGGATCCTGTAATGACTGGGGCCCAGAGGGGCAGTTTCATCCCTAGTTTTTATTGAGCTCTTCGAGGCAGTTGCATTTAGACCATGGCCCAGATGGAGCTGGATGTCATAGACCACAGTGCTCCTCTGGGTATTGTCTCTCCCAAGGGCACTTGAATTACATAGAAGCCCAGGGACCCATGAGGCAGGCAGGAAGCTGCCAGGCATTCTTAATTCTGAATCAAGAAGTCTCAGGACACCTTGTCCTCCATGTTCCATTGGTGAAAGCAGTCATGGACCCCATTCAGAGGCAAGAAGTGGAGATAATAATAACTCCATCCTGACTGGGCTTGGTGGCTCAGCCTGTAATCCCAGGCGTGGTCTTGCCCAGCAATTTGGGTGGCCAAGGCAAGTGGATTGACTGAGTCTGCGGGTTCAAGACCAGCCCAGGAAGCTTGGCAAGACCTCTTCTCTGCATAAATCAAAACTTAGCTGGGCATGGTAGCACGCCCCTATAGTTGTGGCTACTTGGAAGGCTGAGACAGAAGGATGACCTGAGCCGAGCAGGTTGAGGCTGTGGTGGCCGTGAGCATGCCACTGCACTCCAGCCTGGGTGACAAAGTGAGATTCCAACTAAAAAAAAAGAAAGAAACTCCATCCTGTAATGAGAAGATCATCCTGTTTGGATAGGGTGTAGGCTTGTGTAGGGTTGTCTGTGAAGCCGAGTTCCTCCAATTCCTCCTCTGAGTATTGGATGCCTCCTTTACCTGATGAGAGGTTTGCTCTTCTCAGTCAGGGATATTGGAGGATAACACAGGAACACGTATCTAGAGGGACAGCTCAGAGCCTTCACCTTCGCTGCCTTTGCCTCAGTGACAACCGTTGGCATTGTGCACAGGACATTCAAGAAGGACTAAAAGAGGACAAGGAGGAGAAGGCGTGGTCTTTCCTTCTCCCGATTGCCCCCTTCCAGATGGACCTGGGCTCTCCCAGAACATCTGACTTGGTGACCGTCTGAATCCAACCTGGAGGCTCTGCTCTGTGTGATCAGACCCCTCCGCAGAACTGCAGACATCTCCAGAGTCGGGGCTCAACTCTGCGTCAGCACCACGGACAGCACCACCGTCCTTGCCTGAGGGTCCCCAGTAGTCTGTCCTTTGCAGAAGGAGCGCCCTCTATTGGCAGTGCCTGACCCTGCTGGGACAGAGGTGGGTGGTCACATTCGGAGAGCAGAACTCGGTAGCTGCCTAGGGTCTGCAGTGTTGTGGGAGAGTGAGAGGGATTGAGAGCACAGGAAATTAGGAGTTGCAGGTCCAGGGACTTCCTGAGCGTCTCCACCACAGCCAATCTGCCCACTTCCTCCTAATGACTCCCCTTCCACTCCATAAGAGGAAGACCACCATGACCAGTCTGTGACTCCCCCACCACAGCCACCTGCCCTCTGGCATTGGAAAGGTCAGGGACTTGTCTGTCTCCCAGTCAGATGTCGCTCTTCTCAAAGACAAGACCTGGGTCTGTTCTACTCACCAGCTGCTGTACACCTCAAGGCACAGTATGGGTCCTCAATACATGGATGCTGACTGAATGAATGAATGAGGGTATGAATGAATTGTTTCATTCATTGAAACTTGACAAATCTCTCTGAAATCAACACAAGCCTCCCTCTCCAGCCAACTTGATCCTGTACAGACTAGAGGGATGACATGGCCCCTGGTAGACCCTAAAACACAAGACAGGGCAGCCGTGCTGTAGGGGCAGATCACTCGCCATCTCAATCCATTCAGGCTGTGACAGCAAGACACCATAAACTGTGTGACTTAGGAACACCAGGAACTTATTTCTCACAGTTATAGAAAGGTGGGGAAGACCAAGATCAACTTACAGGCAGATTCAGTGTCTGGTCAGGGCCTCCTTCCTCACAGGTGGTGCCTTCTCCTGTCCTCATGGTAGGAGGGACTCCCTCCTATGTGCTCCCTCAGGGCTGTCTCATAAGGACAGAAATCTCATTCATGAGGGCCGCTCCTTCATGACACAGTCACATTCCAAAGGGCCTCAATTCCTAATACCATCACCCTGGGGCTTAGAATTTCACCTTATGAATTTTAGATCACAGCACTTGCCACTCTGGACCTTGATATCTTCTTCTGTGGAGTGGGGAAGAGGGACTAGAGGGTCTCCCAGCTTATCTGGGTCATGAGTGTGTCATAAGTTCTTGTGCACACAGGAAGATTCTGTGGCTTTTGCATGTTTCCCCTTTTTGTTCTTATCTTTTGGGTTTTTTGTTAAGTGAGGACAAACTTCCCATTTTGAATTCTGCCCTTTTTTATGACACCCTTCCTTTCCAAATCTCACTGCATGACTGTCACAACCTCAGACTCCCAGGCCCCCTGTGAGCCAGGCTCCCCTGCTATCCTTATTATGTGTTGACACATGGAACCCTCAGTTCCACAGCCCCATGTCCTCTGCTCAGTCCTCCTGAGACCCAACCTACAACCTAGGGAAGAGTCTCCCAACCCAACTGTGTGTCCTCCACTGAAATTCCTGTTGGGGGAACCTCAGACATCAGGAGACTTGTTCACTCGCCGCTGGACAGTAACTCTTTGGGGACAGTGTCCACATCTGGTGTGTTGACATCGTCGTGCAGAGAGGGGATGCCCACCTCGTGGATTCTGAGGGAGGAAGGAGAGGTTGCCTGTCATCTCTCCTGGACCCCATCACTCCCCACCTTCAACAGGTCTGACCCCCACTGATATGAAAGTCTCAGGGGAGTCTGAGGGATCTGGCCAGATGGGAGGTATTTTCACTTTGCAGAAAATGTCATCTCAGAGGAATGACCACGACCAGAAGGCAGGAGATGGAGGTCTAGCCCGGCATGGGGTATGAATTTGTGTGAGTCTCTCACAACCTCTGGGTCCCCAGGACCAGACATGAGTGGTGACGGTTGATCTCCAAGGGCGGTCCCAGCCCTGACAGTGTCTGGGTGTGAAGTTCCT